GGCCTTAGCTGATTGATCTACTCTTCAATAATAACTTCTAAAAAAAACCCTACTATTTCACCAACAATGGGAATGTGACATAGGGAGGTGGCTCGACCCAGAGGACTGACAAATGATGACATTAGCAATATCTAAAAGTTCTAAAAATGTGCTTATACTGGAAAACGCTTATAAGTATACAGATGGTATTACACGTTGGCTAGGCTGGCACGCTTCATCCCCGCCTACTCGCCGAACTGCTTTCGGGGCTGTTCACAGTCAGGCACAATGGCCCACATCTGGTGGTCCTGCCCGAAGGTGTGCAGACTTTGGCTCAGGGTCTATGCGTTAATCTGCACCCTGCTACACACAGATCTTAAGAGGAACTCCTATGAGGCCCTTCTCCATAAACCAATTGCAGAATTGCTTCGCCCTGAACAACAGTTGGCGATGCACCTTTTCACTGCTACCAAATTGACCATAGCTAAATCCTGGAAAACCCTGATCCTCAGCTTTGAAGAAGTTAAAAACCACATGAAAGAAATTATGCTGCATGAAAAATTAACAGCTATACTATCAGATATCCATGAGAAAATTCTTCAGGTCTGGCAACCCTGGATAACTCATGCTCAGCCATCTCGATTTGACAACATTCTTTTGTTGATCTAACAACCTGGCATTGCAGACCCCCAGGAATCCTCCCTCTCCATTTACACTTTATTTTCTGTAGCTTTGTCTAGCTTTTGTTTTACTTTCTCTCTCCACCCGCCTTCTTGCTTTTGATCAGTTAATGAAACTGCCTGGCGGCTGGGCATCTTCCTGTCCTTGAAAGTTACAACACATGCAACTCTTGGCCACATAACTGGTTTGAATTGTATCACACAATACTTGACAATTTATGTACATGTACCGTTTGCTGCGGACCTTGAGCACGTTATTATTTTACCAACTATGCATTGCTATTCATGACTCCCATATTGTATGGCTGAGCACACCAGGTTTTGTGATATTCACCTTTGTGTCACTTTCATTTTGAATGTAACTGTCATATTGTTGGCTCTGTCTGTTTGACTGAACATCGACAATAAAAACCTTTGTAAAGAAAAAGCACAAGAAATTATGAACAACATTGTCCATGTGCTTTGATAGAACAGTAGTATCAGTTAGCAACTATCTATTGCACTCCCTTCCACATGCCCTTTTGGGTCTGGTATGGATTTTGAAGGGAACCCCCCAAATCCATACCAGACCTTTATCCGAGCTTGCAGCCCGGCAGGTCAGGAAAGGGGGGGAGATGAGCAAGCGCCCCCCCCTCCTGAACCATACCAGGCCTCATGCCCTCAGCATGGGGGGGTGCTTTGGGGAAGAGGGGGTTCCCCCCCAAAGCACCTTGTCCCCATGTTGATGGGAACAAGGGCCTCTTCCCCACAACCCTGGCCGGCAGTTGAGGGGGACTGCGGATGGGGGGCTTATCAAAATCTGGAAGCTCCCTTTAGCAAGGGGGCCCCCAGATCCCAGCCCCCCTATGTGAATGAGTATGGGGTACATAGTACCACTACCCATTCAAAAAAGAAAAAACCTGTAGTGTTAAAAAAGACAGGAGACAGTCTTTGACAAGTCCTTTAGTAAAAGAAGAAAAATAAAAAATGTCCCCCAAAGAAGTAGATCCAATGTCAATCACGATGCCCACAACCACCTGAAAAAAGAGCAAAAAAACCCAAAAGCTCTGCTCCCGACGCTGGCTCCCGGCCGTCTGACTGCTCCACTGGCTTGACAGTTCTTAAATATGTAAGTGGCTGGTGCACCCAGTTTTGGGGAAGAGGGTATTTTGAGGGCATGTGGCCTGGTATGGTTCGGGGGGGCATTCGCTCCCCCACCTTTCCTGACCTGCCAGGCTGCATGCTCGGATACGGGTCTGGTATGGATCTTGGGGGGAACCCCACACAATTTTTTCTTAATTTTGGCATGGCATGGTTCCCCTCAAAACCCATACCAGACCCGAAGGGCTTGGTATGAAAGAAGGGGGGACCCCACAATGTTGTTTTATTATTTTTTTAATTATTTTTAATGCCCTCTCTATGCAGCAATATGTAGGTGGGGTGTTGTGTGGGTGTGGATTTGGCTTTAGTGTAGGCAGAGACACAGGGGCCCCATTATCTCTTATTGCCCCCCCATGAATTGTCAGTCTGCCCCTGTTCCAAAAACAACAGCATTTAATGGATCCAGGTCACTCATCTAAGCCTGTTAAAGAAGTTTTCACTCCCTCTTGCCTTGAGGAAGTTGCAAGCAGAAAAATACCAAAAAGTACCAAAATGGCGCTACGCTGGAAGTACGTCACCACGCTTTGCCATCGACGCATTGCGTCACACTTCCACGTGACTTCTTCGGGTGGTGGCGTACTTCCAGCGTACACCTTTTCATGCAGTACACCCAGTACATGGGGTAAAGGCTTGTACATTTTCTACTAAATGTGAGTGTAATTTTTGGCTTATTTATCTCATTGGATTAAAAGTGGTTTTACACTATGGAGGATGTTTCTTTCTCTTGTTCCATGGGCTTATGAGAGAGTATTATTGGTTGTGAGGGTGCCTATCTGCCTATCTACCTACCTATCCAGAGGAATTAACAACAGTGGTGCTGCAGGATACCAGTGTGGTTATAGTTCCCAGGAAACCAGGCTGAAAGGAGTGCATATATAGGGAGGATCCGGAGGTGATCCAAAAGGCTCTGTGGCCCTGTGGGGTCGCGGAGGGGAGGTGAGAGGCCATTGCAGCCATTTTTCAAGGATCACGTATCGGTGTGTTGTGCATCCACACTGTATATGTTGCATGACCAGAAGTAGTGAAGCACCTTGTTTTTGGTTTTTACAGAAATTGGACTTTTTACACCATTGGACTTTTGTTAATTAATTTTTTTCACGTACAATTTTTTCACGTATATCATTAATATTTTGTTTGTTACCAGAGTGTCTTTTACCATTTTTGAGCACAGAGTGTGTTTTTGTTATCCCTCAATAGGGATTCACATATTTTTATGCAATATATATTAATATAGGTCTGTGTCCCATTTTATGTGGAACCACTGGTCACGTCATTTGTGGTTGTATCCCTAGAGGGATTGGGTTCACATTTATTAGTATCATTATTATACCACCATTTATAGATCACTTTATTTGGTCCACACAGGACCTCGTGTGGTTTGAGTCATGTTTAGTCACCATTTATGATATGTTTGTTACATATTTATTTATGTAGCTCTGCACTATTTTATATTGTATGGTTCATTTTTCACCTATAGGTATAGGACTAGGTGTTAGCTGCTTCTAAATAAGCTAGTTTATAGGTACATATAGAACGCAGGGGGATTTCTTTCAAATAAGATAAAATTTGTGTCTCTGAAGAACTTCTGAAGCGCTTGAGACACGAGTTCCATGAATGGAAACGCATAGCAGAATGGAAAGTTCCGTGAGTTTTGTAGTGTGTCCAAAGCTGCCTACTCTCATGTTATTGAGAAAAACCATGTTGTCTTTATGTTTTCCTTTGTCACAAACAGATTGAAACTTGGCTGCCCCACCAGAGAACAAGGTCCTGAAATACCTGAGTGTGAAGGGACCTGTCAGGGCTCCAGGGTATGACCAGAGGTATGTGAACCGACACAGGGAAACGCAGACTCCAGATATGATATAAACAATATAATTTAATAACACTAACAATACATAAACGCAGTGCAATACTAAAACATAACACAGTGCAAACGAACCAAACCAACCACCCACAGAATAACAGTACATACAATGCAAGCGTCGTCAGGCAGGCCGGATCATCAACAGGAGGTCAGAACGTATGGGGTAAAGCAGGAGAATGGTCAGACAAAGCCAGGGATCAGAGCCGGAGAATGGTCAGACAAAGCCAGGGATCAGAGCAGGAGAATGGTCAGACAAAGCCAGGAATCAGAGCAGGAGAATGGTCAGACAAAGCCAGGGATCAGAGCAGAGAATGGTCAGACAAAGCCAGGGATCAGAGCAGGAGAATGGTCAGACAAAGCCAGGGATCAGAGCAGGGTCAGCAACGAATCAGACAGGAACAGGAACAGGGTTGCAGGAACAGGATACAGGGCCCAGGAGAAACACACACCAAGGCAGAGTCTGTAGGTCTGGCCATCCCTTAAATACACCAGCATAAGCAGTTTCAGGTGTTTGGCTGGCTGCAAAGTTGAGTCTCTGATTGCTGGGAGCACCCGCTGGCCAGCCCTGGTACTGCAGCCCATAAGGCAGGTGAGTCCCACCATTGCTGGCCAGTCCATTCCTGACAGTACCCCCCCCCCCTCAAGGAGCGGCCTCAGGACGCTCCAAACAGTCCTAGCTGGGCAAAATGTTCCACCGCCCGGTCTGGTAACTGGCGGGATATCAAAGACTGGCACACCGGGCAGGACTCCGGGCAGAGGCACACCGGGCTGGACTCCGGCAGAGGCACACCGGGCAGGATTCCGGGCAGAGGCACACCGGCAGGACTCCGGGCAGAGGCACATCGGGCAGCGGCACACCGGCAGCGGCACATTGGGCAGAGGCACATCGGGCTGGACTCCGGGCAGAGGCACATCGGGCAGGACTCCGGGCAGAGGCACATCGGGCAGGACTCCGGGCAGAGGCACATCGGGCAGGACTCCGGGCAGAGGCACATCGGGCAGGACTCCGGGCAGAGGCACATCGGGCTGGACTCCGGGCAGAGGCACATCGGGCTGGACTCCGGGCAGAGGCACATCGGGCTGGACTCCGGGCAAAGGCACATCGGGCTGGACTCCGGGCAGAGGCACATCGGATCACCAGGCGAAGCAGCAGGCAGCGGGCCACCAGGCAGAGCAGCAGGCAGCGGGCCACCAGGCGGAGCAGCAGGCAGCGGGCCCCCAGGAGGAGCAGCAGGCACTGGGCCCCCAGGCGGAGCAGCAGGCACCGGACCCCCAGGCGGAGCAGCAGCACAACGGGCCCCCAGGCAGAGCAGCAGGCACCGGGCCCCCAGGCGCAGCAGCAGGCGTTGGATCCCCAGGCGGACCGACAGGTCTCGGGGCCCCCAGGTGGAGCGGCGGGGCGCCGGACCCCCAGGTGGAGCGACAGGTCTCGGGCCCCCAGGCGGAGCGGCGGGCGCCGGACCCCCAGGCGGAGCGACAGGTCTCGGGCCCCCAGGCGGAGCGGCGGGCGCCGGACCCCCAGGGGCGGAGCGACAGGTCTCGGGCCCCCAGGCGGAGTGTGGCGGGCGCTGGACCCCCAGGCTGAGCGACAGGTCTCGGGCCCCCAGGCGGAGCGGCGGGCGCCGACCCCAGGCGGAGCGACAGGTCTTGGGCCCCCAGGCGGAGCGGCGGGCGCCAGACCCCCAGGCGGAGCGTCAGGCACCGAGTCACCAGGCACGACAGTGGGCTCCGAGTCAACTGGCATGACCGCTGGCACTGGGTCAGACAATGGATCGTCAGGCTGGACAGCGGGCATCGGGTCACCAGGCATCAGGTCATTTGGCTCAACAGTGGGCACCGCGTCATCTGGCAAGGCAGTGGGCACCAAGTCACCAGGCACGACAGTGGGCTCTGAGTCAATTGGCACGACAGCGGGCACCGGGTCATCAGGTACCGGATTGTCTGGCTCGACAGCGGGCATCGGGTCACCAGGTATGACAGCGGGCACTGGGTCACCAGGCATCAGTCATTTGGCTTGCCAGCGGGCACCACGTCATCTGGCAAGCAGCGTGGGCACCGGGTCACCAGGCATTGGATCGTCTGGCTCGACAGCGGTGCATTCGGTCAACTGGCCTAATAGGATCATCAGGCTGGAATCAGTTCATCAGGCTGGGTAGAAACATCATGCTGGGTAGAGGCATCAGGCTGAGTAGAGCATCAGGCTGAGTAGAGGCATCAGGCTGAGTAGAGGCATCAGGCTGAGTAGAGGGCATCAGGAAGCTGAGTAGGGCATCAGGCTGAATAGAGGCATCAGCTGGGTACAGGCATCAGGCTGGGTACAGGCATCAGGCTGGGTACAGACATCAGGCTGAGTACAGACATCAGGCTGAAGTGCGGTGCCGAGGCACCAGGCTGAACCACGGAAGGCAGGTTCTCAGACGGCAGGCTCACCGGTTTGGATACTGGCAGGATGGTACTGGTTGGAAAGAATTTTCGCTTCTTTCTGGTTTTAACTACTGGGGCACTGCAAGTAAACGCAGGTCTGCAAACGAATGGAGCAGCTGGAGACAGAGAAGAGCTGGAAGATGGAACAGAGGAGGGAACAGTTGCTACAGAGGACTTCTTTACAGGGTTAAAGGCAGGATAGGTGCAGCGAGTGGGAACAGGGTACTGACATGCGGTAGATAGCAGGGCAGGAGGAGCTGTTGGGAATGCAGGAATAGAGCTTTGAGGAAATAGATTTAGAAGCAGGACTGGGTTTTTGCAAGCTGACTGAGGCTGGGTGCAACAAATCTGTCCATGTCTGCAGTAGGGGTTGAACAAAGCTCAGCTTACACCAAGCCTGTCTGACCAAAGACTGCACTGCGTTTATACAATCTCTTAGTATCTGTGGTGAACATGCAGAATAACGCTCCAGAAAGTAATCCACATAATCCTCTAATAACCACACACAGGGACTCTACCTGGTCGGCACTAAATGGCGGAAAAAATTCATCCCTGCATTCGGGGGAACCAGATGAAGCCAACTCCGCACAAACCTGAATCAATGGCTGCACCTCAGAGAATTCTGTGCCCTGATCTACTAGAACATGAGCGAGCTGTATACATTCTAGCAGTTCATCCCGGGGATACTCCTTCAGAGTCTGATAAGCATATTCTCTGTCATCAAACACTAGCAGATATAAATACACAACCTCAACAAGATCCATCCTTCCCATCAACAAACCAAGATGGCTTCCCTGTGCAGCCACTTCTGGTCAGGATTGGCCTTGGTGTAATGTCAGGGCTCCAGGGTATGACCAGAGGTATGTGAACCGACACAGGGAAACGCAGACTCCAGATATGATATAAACAATATAATTTATTAACACTAACAATACAAACATAAACGCAGTGCAATACTAAAACATAACACAGTGCAAACGAACCAAACCAAACCACCCACAGATAACAGTACATACAATGCAAGCGTCGTCAGGCAGGCCGGGATCATCAAACAGGAGGTCAGAACGTATGGGGTAAAGCAGAGAAATGGTCAGACAAAGCCAGGGATCAGAGCAGGAGAATGGTCAGACAAAGTCAGGGATCAGAGCAGGAGAATGGTCAGACAAAGCCAGGGATCAGAGCAGGAGAATGGTCAGACAAAGACAGGGATCAGAGCAGGAGAATGGTCAGACAAAGCCAGGGATCAGAGCAGGGTCAGCAACGAATCAGACAGGAACAGGAACAGGAACAGGGTTGCAGGAAACAGGATACAGGGCCCAGGAGAAACACACACCAAGGCAGAGTCTGCAGGTCTGGCCATCCCTTAAATACACCAGCATAAGCAGTTTCAGGTGTTTGGCTGGCTGCAAGGTTGAGTCTCTGATTGCTGGGAGCACCCGCTGGCCAGCCCTGGTACTGCAGCCCATAAGGCAGGTGAGTCCCACCATTGCTGGCCAGTCCATTCCTGACAGGACCATTTTCACTTGACTGACCTGATGATGATTTAGAAAATCTGCCAAAACATTTTCCTTTCAGGTGGATTGCTGAAAAAGATGCCAAATGTTTCTCCACTCAATCTAACATCTTGCCTGCTAAAGACATAAGAAGAGGACTCCTGGTACCTCCCTGATGGTTTATGTATGCCACTGTGGTGACCTTGTCTGTCAGGATCTGAAGATGATGCCCTTTGATCTTCTCTTGAAAGGCTTGAAGGGCCTTTGCTACTGCACAAAGCTCCCTCCAATTGCATGAATTTTTCTTTTCTTGGGGATCAATGCCCTTATAACAGGCTGTCCTGGGACCAGATTCGATTTCTTCAGGCTGATGAACCAACCCAATTCAATCTGCCACTGCAGAATTGACAGAATATCCTTCCTTAGTCGATCCTCTGTTCAGGACACAACCAGAGGGTCATCTAAATAGAGAATGACCATTATCCTCTCCAATCTCAGAGGTGCCAGGGCTTCAGCTAAGACTTTGGAAAAATTCTCAGGGCCAAGGAAAGCCCTAATGGTAGAACTTTGCACTGAAAATGATGGACTCTCAATTCCATCCTGAGAGCGAAGCTCAAGAATTTCTGAGACTCCTTCCTCATTGGGATGTGTAAATAAGAATCGTGAAGGAACAGTGTTGCCATAAAGTAATTGTGTTGGAGAAGGGCTCTTATTCCATCCTGAATCACTTGTACCTTATAGCTTGATTCAAAGGCCTGAGGTTCAAAATGAGGCAGAATTTTCCTGACAGTTTTTTTTATTACAAACATGTGAGAACAAAACCCTTCACCTCTTTCTTGGAGAGTGCACAAGCACTCTCTGATGTACCATCTCTCCAATTAGGGCTGGAAGTGCTTTCGTATTTTCTGCATCCTTTGGAAGATTTGTTATGAAGTACCTTGACAGGGGTCAATGGTCGAATTCAAGTTTTTAACTGACCCCTAGTAGATAGAGCACAAATTTGTTGGAGGTAATCTCTCTCCATTTTGACATGAAGTCCTCCAGTCTTCCTCCCACTGGACCTCTGTAGTCATTGGGTCCCTGTGGATTTATCAGGAGGATTGAAAAGGATTCCTGACCTTCCTGTCCCTTTATGTCCTGTCCAGTGTCTTTTTGACGTTCTCCTCTGTCTGCTGCCACCCTTGACCATGAAAAATACTCTTTCTAAACCCTTTTTTCTTCCTTTCAGGGAAAGCTTTCTTCTTATCAGCTGTATGCTCCAAGAAATCTTGTAAACCAGCGCCAAACAACAAATCCCCCATAAAAGACAGATTGCATAAACGTTTTTTTTTTTTTTGAAGACACATCTCCAGACCAAGTTTTTAACCAAAGTGCTCTGTGTGATGAGTTAATTAAAGCTGAGGTCTTTGCTGCAATTCTAACAGTTTCTGTCGAGGTATCTGCCATGTAACCTACTGCTGAAAATCACAAAGAAAGTGAAGTCAAAAGCTGATCTCTGAGTGTACCGGCTTCCAGATGTGTCTTAAACGGAGAAAGCCAAAACTCCATATTTTGTACAATGTACATAGTAGCAAGTGCAGGTTTTAGGCCTGCCATGGCTGCATCCCATGCCCGCTTCAGTAGAACGTCACCCTTTTTATCCAAGCACTCCCATATCATTGAATGCCAGATGTAATTTCTTTGAAATTTTGGCTAAGGGGGCGTCTAGTTTTGGTCGCTTGTTCCATACCATTCCAGGATTTTTATCAAATGGAAATCTTTTTAAAGAATTTGTTTCCTTTCTGGCATTTCCCATTCTTTGAAAATGGCTTCAGAAAGAACTTTATGTGCTGGAATAACTCTGGATTTCTTCTTATGCAGGCTTCGATACATCAAGTCATGCTTACTTAGCTGCACCTTCTCTTCTTCCATTTCTAAAGTATCATATATAAAAGAAGCTAATCCACTTTCTCCAAATATAATTTGTATCTTGAAGCACTGAATCATTCTTCATCTGGATCATGATCACTATTAAAACTGAATCAGAGCACTGGGGTTCACTGGATTCCCCTCTGTCCTATTCCCCTTGCTCCACTAAAGCTTCGGCCAATGGTAATGCAGCAAAGATGGCACCAGAAGAAACTCTAGGAGAAGGCTTGTGCGTATTAGCCAACAAATTCCTAAATGTATGGAAAGTGACTGCAAGTTCTTCTTTGACTGTTGTTAACAGGTTGTTACAAGCTAAAGCAGACTCATCCTTGACTAGATTATTTATGCAACTGCAATGTAAAGGTTTGCACCAGGAAGAGCTTAACTTTGTAGAACAATTTTCACAATTGTTCTTGGGTTGCCAGTGCCACTGACTTGCCCTTATCTGTTCTCTCCTGAAAAAAAGACAAAAAAAGAGAATGCTCAGTGATCTACACCCATGGGGGGACAGGAAAGAACAAAAATGTTTCTTAACTCTCCTCACACATATGAAATACCACATAGAAGCATGGTGCAAGCAGTTGTTTAAAAATGGCTTCAAGACCCTGACAGGCATACTGAGAATCTCTAGGTCCCCATAGTAGTAAACAGGTGTCAAAAAAAGGAGATTGTGTCCTCCACAGACCTTACCTGTACCGTACTGGTGCTAGACTCCCCCGAAGCTTGTTGGGTGGACAACTCCATGATCCCCCCTTGCACAAGCACTGCACGATACAACAGCCTCTGCTGTGAAAAACCACAGTCTAAATGAGCGCCACTATGGGCTCGACCCCTTCCCCCAGTGCCACGAGACCAGAACCTGTTAGTCTGAGCACTCTGTGATGTGCCATTTTCCACCAGAAATTACGTCCAACGCTTCCTTCCGATAGTTGTGGCTGTCAATCACCCACCACGCCAAAGACCAGGCAACTTGTACCATGCACTATCTCTTTTACCCTCACCAGATAAAATGGGGACGGTGGCTGCAGATCTTTCCCATGCTAGGCAGGTTTTCTGTTGGTCTGAGAAGGGGGCTAGGGTTAAGGGATTCCCTCCAGACCCACTCGCTCAGGCCAAAGAACCTTGAGCTGTGGCCCTCCTCCAATAATAAATCAAAAAAGGGTTCATTAATGCAATGTATCTCCTCTGGCCAATGGAAACCAGATACCAGAGGCTGGTCCTTTTATTTGGATGGCAATGTATTTCCTGCTCACCTGGAGGTGGAGCCATATCTCAAGGGGTTGTCCTGGAAGACAACTAGAGGAAAAATGCATTCTTAAACACCATTAGGTAGCCCATAGATGGATCAGTTTTTTCATTCAATCAGCGTGTTGAACAAATAAAAAACTGACTCAATTCCCCCATCCACACATTCAAGGGGGTTGGAGGAATCCTCCTTCTGAACTATTGTCACAAGTTAGTCTGCA